CTATTAGAGAAATAATATTTTTCAATCTTGTAAATAGCTATCTTTAATCACGTTAACAAGTAAACAACACCCAAGGGTAATGCACATACTGGATTCACTTAGTTCTTCAAGGCTGTGACATATTATGTACCTGTTTATCTCCACAAAAATTCTGTGGAAGCTTGAGAAACTACCCGAACATCTATAACTTGCAGTTTTCTTGAAACGGATGAGCATTCCTCTGTTTAAATAGAGTGAAATTGTAGGAAATTCATCTCTGCATTTTCCAATAAATACTATAAATTTTTAAACAGCCATTTCAGAGTTCTGAATAAAGAAGAAAGTACATTATTTCTAAATACAGCCTGTACTCATTTGCTCGTTTGTTTTTTCCAAGAGTATTCATCTCCTCTCAATGGCTTCGGAAAAAAAGCCTAACTGATGAAGATTAGTTTCTCTGAAAGGACATGGCCAGTTACCTCACGAACAAATGGAAAAAAAAGCCTAACTGATGAAGATTAGTTTCTCTGAAAGGACATGGCCAGTTACCTCACGAACAAATGGAACTTTGCTTTTTTTAAGGTCAAAGAATTTTCTCTGAAAGGACATGGCCAGTTACCTCACGAACAAATGGAACTTTGCTTTTTTTAAGGTCAAAGAATGGGTTCGGATGACCCTTGTTGGGACTAAAGTATGATTTCTGGAAACCCAAACAGGTCCTTAAAGATGAATCAGTTCCCTAAAATGAAACTATCATCTCACAGGAACTTTGGTTCCATGAGCTTCAAATTAGAAGGAAAAAAAAATTCTACAAAAACAAAGACTTAATCCCAAAATTTTGGGACCGTACATGTGAACTTTACTTCCATTAATTCCTTCTCAGTTAACCTTGTTCCATGTTCTTTTATGCTCATCTCAAATTCTTATTTCTCCATTAAGGCATTAACTATGATCCTGTGCCTCCATTTCCACCTGCTAAAACAATTTATGTAAGTTCTTCCTTGTTTATTATTAATAAAAATTAATATTTAACTATTACAAATATATGTACCTTGTCAACGTTAGTATAATTTTATACATCCATCTTAGTTCACTTTTCCAACGCTAATTTCTTGAATGATCTTCTTAATTGTCCAATATGATCCATAACGTGTATTGACCATATAGTCATCCAATTGAAATTTTTATGCAACGGTATGTTCTTTTCATAGTCACATAAAACTCCAAAAGCATTTCTCCACCTCCATTTTAATCCTCTTCCTTTGATTCCGTGAATCACACTTCCTCTGCCTCATTTACTTGACAAAAAGTTGATTCCAAATAACAAAAGTGGTCCCTACAAGCCATTTCTTAACTATCAGTCTATAATATATTCTCATTCCTCTTCCAACAAGTTTGCTGAGGTAACTCTCAATATGTTACCCTTGGAGTCCAAAGTTTCTATGCCCTTTCCACTCTATAAACTATAAGCTGATATTATCATCATCAGCTAAACTGGATTAATTTTCTTGTACTAATGAAAGAATTAGATGAATTCTTTCTTTATTAATAATAAATTATAGAATCACAATCTCAACAATTCAAAATGGCCCTCGTAGAAATGTTGATGTCTCAGGATATATGTGGAAGTAAGTTTCACACTTCCTTTATCCAAACAATTAAAATCATTAACATATGAATACCAGAAAAAATATTTGACGATCAGTTGAATGGAATTTGAATAAATAGTTAGACGAATAATTACCAAACTATTCCATAGTTATTCAATCAATTTCCATCCCTAATTTGCGACAACCTAAATCTAAGACATAAGAAAATGATACAATAAGCACCAACCATAGGATTTACCCTTTCAATTAAACTCTTGAAATTTGCAGGTAATACAGAATTTCCCGAACTATACATACAAAATAAAATAATTAGTTTCCATCCATTATCATTAAAAAAGATTAATAATAAATAACTAGTAAAAAGTAGTGATGAAGCTCTTGTGGAATGATAAAACAACTTTCTTTTCGCATGTAACCGAGCTTGTGCAACATATTAGATGAATAACATGGTCAACTCGAATAGATTTTTTTTGCAGGTACTATTATACGATGAAAGAACTCGAGCAAGCGCATAGCTGAGGGTATTTATTTAATATATAGATTAGTCTATAGATTCTGACTTCAGTACAAAATTCAAAATAAAGATATGGTTCTCGGAACCATACAACTTCAACAACATGGCATTTGTTTTGGTTTTTATCTGATAGCCTGTCTTTATAGTTGCCAAACTGTGTCCAAGTGTCAACCTGAAACAGGCACTCACAGTCTCAAAACTGTATGATCCCATGTAGGCAAAATCATCAGGCCATTCTTCGTACACAATGCTAACATCAATAATGCTCCATCCAATTCAGCTTCATCTTTTTTTCTGAATACCTATGTTGAGTTCCAGAAGCTCAGTCAAGTAATATTCAATTTATGAAGATCTGATGTTTAAGAATCCTGACAGCCAGGTAGAAAAGTCATTCTATACCCAACCTAAGACATTACATCCAATATCAAATATCATGCACCAATTTCTTATGATTGAAAAAGATATATTCTTTACATGTGCAACCTTAATACTTCACACATTAAGACAGCTTTCTATAAGAGTCTTAAATTCCACATTCTTCATCTTTCATAAGAATCTCTAGGAGTCCAGTATCCTCCCACCTCCATACAAATGTATCCAAAATTGATTATATGCCAGAATGACTATTAATCTAATATTATAAATTCATAATTCTGGTATAAACTATTAATCTGCTATCCTTTATAAATGTTGTGGTCTAAGTTACCCTAACAGCTCATCTGGGCTCCCGCAACCGTGTCGCAGATTTATCACATCCGTGTATCCTGACTCGACACTCCTTGGAGACTCCTTTATATACGCATTAATAACATCAACTGTTATCAATGTAAAAATAACCAATTTCTGTTTCCCATGCAAGAATGACAAGGAGACACCACATATTCGCCCTTGTAGCTTCCAGTTGAAGTTGCCTATGATTTGAAAAAAAAACTTGGGAGTGCTTGAATAGTAAGAGGCAATTCAAAGATTCATTTTACCTAGGTGTGATATAAAAGCATAAAATGTATACAAAGAGACAGTAGATTTAAAAAAAAAATACTATAAAAATAAAAAAACATGATATATGAATCCTTGCTCAAGTTAATCAAGCAGAGAAAAAATATCCAGCAGCGTGTCAAAAGAATCATACCAAAGCATCTATAAACATAATCAGGAAAGATTGAACTTTAGATAATCTATACATGTATATTATTACAATACATATAAAAAGAGTCAAGGTGTAATATAACCCAGAAATCCTGCGTATGCATCACAGTTCATGATAAAAACAACATTATAAAGAGCACATGATTACGTCAAGACCTATCAAACATACATTCTTCAATTTATCTGAACTCGGGATATAAATTCTAAGATGGGTAATAGTACTTACCATTGACTGAGCTAAGATGAACTAAGTTTTCTCCTTGGATGGTTTGACAACCCAGATGACCCTTCAAAAAACTCCAGAAGTTGGGCCTCCAAATCCTCTGGCGTATACTTAATGTACTTTGCTGCATGCCGGGAAGTCTCCAACTGACCACCAAACCTCCCCAGAAAAGATCGATATGCTGGGATAATCCTCTCTGCTGTAGATACCTGCAGCTCTTCACGGAGTTGAGGATCTGGAACCTTCCAAGTAGTTTGCGTCCTATATATCTCTTCAAATGCCAAATTAAAACTCTTGAAACGCTCCTTTAGAGCCACTTTTGAAACACTACTGGCACTCCCACTCCCACCCAATCCATCATCCTTCAGAAAAGATAACGCTTTCGTCCAAGATGCTCTGATATAACTATTATGGTACTGGCGAATTTGCCCACGACGCCTCCGAACCCAATCTTCTCCTAAGATTTTCCCAAGATCAGAATCCTTTACTTTCTGGACTATATAAAGTCGATTATTCATTAAAAATATGAACTGCAAAGCTGCGTCCTCATAAAACTTGGACTTCTCCTCGAGATTAGACTCCAGATATGAAATCAACAAGCGCAACCAGTGTCCTAATCGGGTCTTGCTCTCGTCACAAGAACCAACATCCTCACTCTCAAATCCACTATCATCAAGAAGAGATTCAAGCAAGTTACTATAATCCACCAACAACTTCACATAATTCATCACATACCGAACCAAAGGGTGGATCTCCCCACCCTGCATTGTCTTTTTCGAAGTCTCCTTCTGAACTGCATTTGTAAATTCTGCTAACGTTCCTCTCACAGCATCACCCAACCACTCCAATATCCGCTCAGTCTCCTTGATAATATAAGCACCCAAGTCACCGGCAAACAATTCATCCAAACTGGGTTTTACTTCCGATAGAGCTTCATACATGTCAAGAATCCGAAACAACTTCTCTGACGACCGCCTTTGGATTGCAACAGCATCTCCAAAATTCAACAGTTGCATGATGCAGCCCTTGGTACTCTCAACAAAACACTCTTCTTTAAGCTCATCAGATTCAGAAAAGATCTCATCACAGAGACGGCGCTCACCCGACAACAAGACCCTCACCACTACTTTCACAGCCTGTATCCACTTTCTCATCTTATCATCAAGAGTCTTCCACTCAATTCTCTGCACTTCATCAATACTCATTCTATCAACACCAAGAACAGAGAGACACTCATCCAAGATCTCTCTTCTCACACTGCTATACACCTGAGAAAGCTCTTTACTGTAATCGGACCGGATCATTCGATCCGCAATATCTTTCAAATCCGCAACCGCCTCAGGACGGATGAGGTCAACTTCAGAGAGTGAACCAAACCGCTCAGATCTCTCGCTTTCTTGCCTCCGATGATGATGATGACTGGAGCTATCTACGGACGACTCAGCCTCATTCGAGATGTCGAATTCTTCGTCCAAGTGTTCATTTTCACCTGCATCAGACGCGAAAGAGAGGGAAAGGCGACGGATCGAGCTGTGCAAGCCCGCGGCGTCGAGGGGGACGGTGTTCCGAATCATGATGTGGCGGAACTCCTCCTCGAGCCTCGACATCGAGATCTGGATCAAGATCTCAGCTTTTTCGCGTAGATCTTCATAGAAATCGAATTCATCCTTGCTAGCGACGGAGATGAGATCGTCGACCGTAAAGAGAAAATCTGCGATCTCATCCGGCGAGGATTCAAACAGTAGGGTTTCGAACTGCAAAGAGTCCCAGCGAGAAATTACCTTGTCAGCCTCATCAAGCCTGGCCTCGATCCTGAGACGAGCCTCGTCGGCCTCGACGTCCTCAGCTCCGCCTTCTTCTTCGTCCCCCTCGTGATCGGCGATCCCTGCCGTCGGGAGGCGTCGGGCGGAGGGTAAGGCGAATACGGTTGATGGAGGAGAAGCGGTTGTCGAAGGTCGAGAAGAATGCGGAGCATGTCCTCGCGCGCGGTCTTATCGTTGCGCTTCGGAGGCTCTTTACGATCTGCCTGAAGCGGTGGCGATGACCTTGTCCTGGCCGTCGATTGGAGGAGCCGAGGACGAGATCGGGGGATCCTGGCCGTCGATTCTGGCCGCGGCCGCCATGGGTGGTGCTAGGGTTTAGGGAGTTCTAGGGTTAGGGTTAGGGTTTGGAGGTGAGGGCGAAGAATTCGAAGGATGAGATCATGAGGATGATGATGACGATGTGTGTTTTTGGCCGGCCGAGCGAGCGAACGAGTGACGTGCTCACTTTTTTCTTCTCTCTTTGCACCACTCAATTTTTCTGCTCAGTCTTCAGGAGTTTTTTCATGTAAGCCTCCTGAAAATTATCTTATTGCTGAAACTACTTATTTTAAGGGGGCTAAATTTCAGAAAACGCCCTTAAAAGGTGAAGCATAATCATCCAAATTTAAAGGGCTTTGATCAAACTTAGCCTAGAGAATTCACCCACTCGACGTCATTTATCAGAAAACTGTTTGCAGTACATATGACAAATTATGTTTTTTTCGAATTAGCAAGATATTTATAAAGTCATTAATCTTAGAGATGAAGAGTGAGCTCAGACAAGCTCTTTAATGTTTTTTCTCGTATTAGATTTATATTCTATTATTCTTTAAATTAGATCCATGGATCATCATGTTTTTCAATCTTCAAATTCTTCAATTTGTTACACATTGCATCACCAATTTCGTCCAGGCCTACTGTTGTCTGGTTGAATCTAAATCATTACTGATAAGTACGTACCTTAATACTACTTTTTATGAGGAGGTGCGTACTGTACTAACTCCTAAGCCCTCATTCTTTTTCCCTCTTGTACTCATACTCTCTTCACAATATCTGGTTTTTCTCCTCTTTTTCCTTAACTCAATTGCTGCTTGATTTGATAAGAGTAACCAGAAAAAGTTGGCTTGAAGGAGAGAGAGAAAGAAATAGATTATGCGATAAACCATCTTATACTATAATCAAGAGTAATATGATAATTTATTAGTAGTTGTTCAGATATGACCAAATCATAGCAATACAATTTGCACTCATCACTTGGGGGTGTAATTAAGAAGAAAATTAAAGGATTTGAGGGTGTAAATGATAAATACAAAGCTTCGAGAGACCGATTCATAAGTATGAGAAAATGTAGGGGTTAATGTGATAAACGTAGGCGCAAGACCGAACTTCCATGAAGTAACACAGGAGCATTATTTCCCCCCTTTAGACCGAATGTTTGAATAAAAGGTAGAGGTGTAAATGAATAGTTAATATAATACAAAGACTGTTCTTATTTGTTGACTGGCGATTGATGTTCAGGGTTCTTGATTATGACGGTGAGATTCCCCAGATTAACGCTGACAATGTAGCATTTGGAGCGCTATTGAGTATTTGATAAACAAGTCTCTATTAGGATTTGACCTGTCCCGGATTAGCACTACTTTAATTTTGGGCTGTAAAAGATTCGAAAACATGTAACATTTTGTGCCTGCCTTTGTATGTACATGCACACGATGAGTGTTTGACACGATATAAAAAAGACTTCGTGGTTGAATATGTTAAAAAATTATATATATATTATATATAATATATATATATATATATATATATATATATATATAATATATATATATTATATATATATGAGAGAGAGAAGAGAGAGAGAGAGAGAAATATGGAGAAACTTGTGTATCAAGTTTCTCTCTCTCTCTCTCTCTCTCTATATATATATATATATATATATATATAGAGAGAACTTGTGTCAACTTAAGTGGAAAGTGAATAGTGTGTCCATCAAAACTTCATATCCACTCATTTAACATATAAAAAGTCATTTCATATCATGCAAGGATCCCTAGGAAACATCCAAGGGTTAAAAAGTTGGTGAGATGTCCACTTAAGTGGACACAAGTTTTGCGCTATATATATATTTATTATATTATATATATATATATATATAGAGAGAGAGAGAGAGAGAGAGAGAGAGAGAGAGAAACTTGGTATATATATATATATTCCAAATGTGAGGACATTTCCATTATTTTGTTTCTAGGTAAGGTATTTTCTTAGTTTTTCTAAGTATGAGGGCATTTTAATTACTTTAAAATTGTGGCTCACACAACCCAAAGAGGAGCTTCTCTTAATATATAGTATAGAGGATGAATTTTCAAAACCAACCTATTTTCATATTTAATCCCAAAAAATACATGTTTTGAACTTATTTTCAAAAAAACCGACCTGGTTTCAGCCCTGGCACTGAAACCAGGTCGGTTTTTGAATTTTTTTTTTCCAAAACTTCACGGGAGTTTAACTCCCGTGAAGTTTCGGAAATCTGCTAAACTTCAAGGGAGTTCAACTCCCGTGAAGTTTCATAGTTAAAAAAAAATTTGAACTATGAAACTTCACGGGAGTTGAACTCCCGTGAAGTTTAGCAGCTTTACTAAACTTCACAGGAGTTCAACTCCCTTGAAGTTTCGGAAGCTTTTTAATAAAAACCGACCTGGTTTCAGCGCCAAGGCTGAAACCAGATCTGTTTTTGCAAATAAGTTCAAAACAGGTCGTTTTTGGGGATTAAATGTTAAAATAAGGTGGTTTTGAAAATTTGTCCATAGTATAGATGGAGTCCATGCAACATATGCACGTCACAAAATGTAGAGTAGCGTCACAATAAAATTATCAAGGAAGTAGATAAGTTTGTTAGTTTTGTTTCGAAAATTTCAAGTGTGAGGTCATTTCTATTGACTATTCCAAGTGTCGAGGCATTTCCATAGTTATCTTCAAGGGAGAGAGCTTTCTGCAGTTTTTTCAAGTGTGAGGTAATTTTTAAAATTTTATAAATAAAGCTTACGCAAAGCAAAAAAAAAAAGATTTATTTTAAATATTAGTATAGATTAAAAAGGAGGATTTATTTTAGAGGTTCTCCCTTAAAACAACCTTATATTTAGGGTCATTTTATGCAAAACACAACCACCGACACCATTTTTCTCCTAAAATTTCTCTAAAATCCCAACAATGCCCTCACCTATTTTCACGTGTGATGCATGTGATCCCCTCTTAACCAGACCTCTAACCACATCAATGTCTAAAAGCTGAGGGATTGTTGAAATTTCATGAAAATTTTTAGGAGGAAAGCGTGATCAGGTGGTTGATTGAAACTAAAACTAACTCTAGATCATACAGATATAAATTGGAAATATAAGGGATTTTGCATGTCTCTAAGTACAAGGTGGTTTCTAGGGAAAAATAAAACTTTATTTTAAATTATAGTATAGATAAAATCATATAGATGTACATGTATTCTGTCAAAGAAGCTTTGCAAACTGATGGAGGAGATAAAAATCCTGTTAAAGATACCCATATTTGAATACAAAGGTGCCCATGTTTTTTCCCTGGAAAAATATTATGAGGTAGAAAGAAAAAGGTAAATGTACAGTAACCAAGTATCTAGTAATCCCTGAATTTGGAGATGCATGATTCTTAACTTACACAGAAGAAAATCATTCAGTTTCTGATTACTGAATACAGCTATTTAATGTAGCTCAGTTTGTCAAGAAAGGGTTCTTCCCTTTCTCATTTTTCTTTTTGTCAAGAAGGGTTGTGGAATTGGGGATGGGTGAGGAAAGGAAGAAGACATCAAGTTCAACGTGTCTACCAATTACTGAAATTTACTAGATTCTGGACTCATATAATTTGGTCAAAGCTTTTGTACGCTTTCATGGAAACTGAGATGAAGTCAAAATCTAAAAAAACAATGAAAATGCACCAAAACGTTCATGAGGTTGATGACGATCAATACACGGAAGTAAACATGAAAAGGACATAAAAGATGTGCAGGGATGCAACCCAATTTTCCCTTGATTCAGAATAAGTTGGCTTCTTCAAAATTTGCGTAAATTTACCGTTACACGTGCTTTGAGTTTGTCCTGCTACGCTTTGAGATTACGCCATGTGCTAACTTTTCGAAGTGGTTATCTCTTTCTCCATAATCTTCTACACCCTGAAACTTTCGTTAAAACAGGTAAAATAATAATAAGAATGCTGCAAATGTATTTGAAAATACACATAAGCCTCTGAGAAGAATGCCCTCTAATGAAACAAATCTATAGAAGATGACTGAACATATCAACCTAGGAAACTAAGAGAGAGAGAGAGAGAGAGAGAGAGAGAGAGAGAGAGAGAGAGAGAGAGGCTCTCAGGCATTTCTTAGTTCACAGTATAGGGTTCTCGAAGTAGGCAGCTCCCATAATGTAAAAAAGCATAGGTGTAATACTAATAACAACTTTTGTTGTGAAAATATTTGAATGACTAAAAGGGCATTATAAGCTGGCAACGCATGCTTTCTTACCTATTTACCATTTTTATGGAAGTAGGAAATTTTGATTGCCATCTTTCCACAGCATTCTATAACAAGATTAGTAAGTACTAAACGAGAAAAATAAACCACATGCCACTACTACAGAAAATGTATATCAAACAACCGAATCCAAAATGCTTCACAATTTAAAACAGTAGATGCAGTATCACTATATATGTTCTGAAGTTCATTTCGATTATAGATGAGAATTTAACAGCACATTCATTACAATAGAAGACGGCAGCAGATGTTATTTGATAACCAATCATACCTTTTTTTTGAAGTCAAAATATATTGCAGTTTAACTTCCACAGACTTCCTGTGTTTGTCCTTGTCCTTGTCCATTTGAGGTGTTGTCCTGAAGAGGCATTTGAAGCAATAACCCACTGACAAGTTAAGCATTTACCTATAAGTAATGATACTTTAATTTTACTTACGACATTTGACATCTGATCCCTAATGAAGTACATTGACTGTAGCATAGTCTCCAAAGTATCATTTGCTAATTGAAATGTGACCTCTGTGTCTTCAGACAAAGACGGAGTATCACTTTGAAGCTGCAATATCCAGACAAGACATTTACATTTGTTCCAAATTATAATTGCATCATCAGTCAAATGTAAAATAAAGCTAAACCCTTATGATATATCTTTGAATACAATATGGGATTTGGCAGACCAGCGAGAGTCGTCTCATATCAAACGAAGAAATTCCAAAGTCTGTATATTTCAGCTATTTGACTCTAGGAGCAAAGCAATAGAGACTACATTTCACAGATGTTTAAACAATGAGCTTGTCATCAATTTTCATAGGGATTTTCACTGAGGTTTAAACAATGAGCTGGTCATCAATTTTCATAGGGATTGAGCTAGGAAAGCAAGAAATGACCCAACAAAACAGAATGCAACTCATGAAACCTTTTATCTCCATTTCATCATATAATTATTTTGTTTCAGTTACAACATTAATTTTGGGGCAGAATAAAGTCATGCATGACGTCCATGATAAGTACGAGGAAGGGAGAATAAATATACAGAAAGGTGGACATAAAAAATATGCCAGGTCTGATGAGGTCATAATCACATCTCAAAACTGATCGAAATCTTGTTTTATGTTTACTGTTTTCCACATGCGACTTCATATTCTTCGAGCTAAAAGTTCTATAAACATCAGAGAGGAGCAAACAACAATGTACAACTTTGAAATAAGGGCATTTCAGTAACTACATGCTTACAGTTACAGTCATGTAAGTTAAGACTGGCACAAAGTAAGCCTTCAGCTTGTGTTGGATAACAGACTCACAGTAGACATAGACGCTAACTTGCTTTGTCTTTACCAGATACTCACTGATACTTTAGCTTCGATACAATGATAGTTTCTTTGAAAAAAGGTTATTTGCATATATGCCCCTTAAAATCATGGGGCAAAAATACCCTCCAAATCTCACTATTTGCAAAACTACCCCTCAAATCATCAATTTTGGAAAAAAATTAACTTCAAAGCAATTAATAATCAACTTTGATATAATTTGTAATCGCAGCGTGAAAGTTATCAACAAGATAGTCAAATTTTTAGCATCAAGTTGATGATTTGTTGATTTTAGGGGCATTTTTTCATAAAGTTAATGATTTGAGGGGTAGTTTTACAAATACTAAGATTTGGGGAGGTATTTTTGCAAATATCCATGATTTAAGTGGTATATATGCAAATAACCCAAAAAAATAATGCAAGTATTCCCTTACTTTTGAAAGTGAGGTTTAGTACTCTAAGACCACCCAAAAGGTGGAGTTAGCTTAAATATTGATGTAAAACAAACTCCTATTCAACTTCATCCAAAAAATTGAAACATCAAGCACAGGAAAAAAAGGTGAATAGGGTATTTAGGTGTAAAGGAGGAAGCTTACACCTCGTTTGGAGCGAGAGAATCGAGTCAAATGAGAATGACATAAAATAACAAATGGATCGGAAGTAGTATAGGAATAGAATGCTCATGCTCATTCTCACGCTCATCGTTGCACAATTCCCCAGACCCCCCTCGAACCGTCATACAGTTCCTGCGAACCAATTCCCTCCGATACACGAACTTGTTTCCCAAAATTAGCATATCACTTAAAAGTATGCTAGACGCAAAGTATCTTTAAGTGCACGTGCACAAGACAAAATGCAATGTGTGTAATTAAGTGAAGGCAGACAATAGTGTATGAGCCGATGACTTTACTGCAACTAAACACGTATGTTAATTAAATGTAAAACAAAACCTTGATCCTAAAATGAGCTTTGTGAAAACAAAACAAAACAAAGAAACAAACTCCATCAAAAAGAAGTATCTAAGTAATTTGTATGAAAAGAAATATTAAAATTCATAATTAGCTTTCTAGTTTTCTACTATATACTTTAGAAAACTTTAAGCGTCCCTTGAAAAAATTTACAATGTACCTCTAACCAAACTTGCATACTGAAACAAGCTATCCACTAACGAATCCAAATTTTCTAAGTGGCAAATTGTGTACCAGAGTTCGTATCGTGACCCACTACATACCGTGTAGTATGTAACTATGCTCATGCTTAGGTGCTATTAGAGAATGAAATGAGAATAATAATTTTTTATTTATTTTTAGTATGAGTAATTAACAAACATTTAAAGCATATTTAAAATTTTATTTTAATTACTGATTCTCACTTAAGTGAGAATGATCATTCCCTATCATCTCATTTGGATTGCTCATTCCCACATAAATTGGGAATGAGAAGTGGGAATAAATATTCTACCTTTTGAAAAGGTGTTGTGTTTGGTAGGCATGAATGAGAGATGGGAATGAACATTCCATTCCATCTATTCATGCTTACTAAACGAGGCGTTAAGGTATTATCTGCAATTCAGCCAATGACCAGTATTTCTTTTTAGGAAAAATGGATATTTTTCTCCTGGAGCCCATTTGGTTCACTCTGAAAGCTTGGAGACCACCGGCATGTTAGAATTGGGGGTGGAAACCTACCTCCGCCGGCGACGAGGAGCTCCGATGAGCTCAGAAATGACGCAGGCAAAACCCCAGTCGAAGTCGCGACCCTCGGACGAACGCGACCCTCGGAGAACGCGACCCTCGCGTTGAGCGCCCCGACCATCGCGTCCAGGGGTCCGACCATCGCGTCCAGAAGCTCGATGACCACGTCATTGGCGACGCTCGCGTCCGTTCGAGCGCTGGCGACAGGCTGTCGCCAGCCCACCAAATCCAGGCTATAAAACCCCCTTTGGCCCTAGGGTTTCAGTGCTCCTTCTCTCCCCCCCTTCTCCGATTTCTCTGGCGGCGAAGCCCCAAAACGCAGTCGCGTTTCCAATTAAATCACAGCAGTGATTTCATTCATCTCCAGCTCTCAAATTGTTTTGAGGAGAGATTAAGAAGTGGATTAAAGAAGAGAGAGAAATAGAGAATTAAAGAAGGGTTTTATAAGTGGGTTGTTTAATTATTCTCAAGTGAGATTTAAAAGGGGTTTATTCCCTTTAATTATTAACACTGTAGCAACAGTGTTCATTTGAGAAATCTCAGTTTAGGGATTTGCTCTTGATTTGTAATTTCTTGTTTGATTAATAAGAAATTATCTGTGTGGCTCCCGAGGACGTAGGCAGTTGCCGAACCTCGTTAAAACTTGGTGTACTGTTCTCTATCTACGTTTCCGTTGCATTAGGGATTTCAGCGTTAAATTCCCAACAACTGGTATCAGAGCGTGAAACGATCTAGAACAAGTCAGATTCAAGTGGGAGCCATGGCCACAGATGAGGCAAAAATGAGACTTGAGAAATTTGATGGAACAGATTTCGGATTCTGGAAAATGCAGATAGAGGATTATCTGTATCAAAAAAATCTGTATCAACCACTATCGGGGAAGAAGCCAGATTCCATGAAGGCAGATGAGTGGAACCTTCTAGATAGACAAGCCCTCGGAGTTATCAGATTGACGTTGACTCGCAATGTTGCGTTCAACATAGCGAAGGAGAAGACCACGGCAGGTCTTATGGCAGCACTCTCAAAAATGTATGAGAAGCCATCAGCCGCGAACAAAGTTCATTTGATGCGGTGGTTATTCAATCTGAAAATGGCGGAAGGCGCGTCAGTAGCACAACACCTCAATGAACTTAATACGGTTACAACCCAATTGAGTTCAGTTGAGATTGAGTTTGATGAAGAAGTTCGGGCGTTGATATTGTTGTCTTCCCTACCAGAGAGTTGGAACGCTACAGTCACAGCTGTGAGTAGCTCGTCGGGAAAGAAAAAGTTGAAGTTCGGCGACGTTCGTGATTTGGTTCTCAGTGAGGAGATCCGACGGCGAGAGACTGGTGAAGCTACAACCTCTTCAGTATTGCATACAGAGTCAAGAGGTAGAAATTCAACCAGAGGAAACGGACGAGGAAAATCAAACTTCAGAGGTAGATCAAAGGACAGGAGGTCCAAATCAAGGAATCCAAGCAACAGCTCGAAGGCTATCGAGTGTTGGAATTGTGGAAAGACCGGGCATTACAAGAATCAGTGCAAGAGTGCACAGAAGGAGAAGGAGGCGAAGGCAGAGGTGAATGTCACCTCCACTTCAGGAGGAGACGACGCATTGATATGCTCTTTGGAGAGCAAGGAGGAATCTTGGGTGTTAGATTCAGGAGCGTCGTTCCACGCTACTTCTCAGAAAGAATTCTTCGAGAAGTATACCCCCGGAAAACTTGGATACGTATATCTTGGTGATGATCAACCGTGTGCTATAGTGGGCAAAGGCGTGGTGAAAATTAAGTTGAACGGGTCAGTATGGGAGCTGAAGGATGTCAGGCATATTCCCGACCTGAGAAAGAATTTAATATCCGTAGGCCAGTTGGCTGGCGAAGGATACACCACAACCTTCCATGGAGATGATTGGAAGATCTCAAAGGGCGCAATGACGATTGCCCGAGGCAAGAAGACTGGTACCCTGTATATGACAGCAGGTGCACGTTGTTTGATCTCAGTTGCAGCAGGCAATGAGACTTCAAAGCTGTGGCACCAGAGACTCGGTCATATGAGTGAAAAGGGGATGAAAATCATGCACACAAAGGGAAAACTCCCAGGACTGCAGTCAGTGGAGATGGATATGTGTGAAGAATGTATACTTGGAAAGCAGAAGAGAGTCAGCTTTCAGACAAGTGGCAGAACCCCCAGGAAGCAGAAGCTAGAGCTCGTTCACTCAGATGTGTGGGGACCAACAACCACCGCGTCCATTGGTGGAAAACACTACTTCGTGACTTTTATCGATGATCACTCTCGGAAAGTGTGGGTCTACTTTCTGAAGCATAAGTCAGAAGTATTTGAGGCTTTCAGGAGATGGAAAGCTATGGTCGAAAATGAGACTGGTCTGAGAATAAAGAAGCTCAGGACCGACAATGGCGGTGAGTATGAAGACACCGGATTCAAGAAGTTCTGCTATGAGCACGGGATCAGAATGGAGAGAACCGTGCCAGGCACGCCTCAGCAAAATGGTGTAGCTGAGCGAATGAACCGAACGTTGACGGAGAGAGCCAGAAGCATTCAGGTACAGTCAGGCCTACCGAAACAGTTCTGGGCAGAAGCAGTCAACACAGCAGCTTACTTGATCAACCGAGGTCCATCGGTTCCATTGGAGCACAGAATACCAGAGGAGGTATGGTGCGGAAAGGAGGTAAAACTCTCACATCTAAAAGTTTTCGGTTGTGTAGCTTACGTGCATATTAGTGATCAAGGCAGGAATAAGCTTGATCCCAAGTCAAAGAAATGCACTTTCATCGGCTATGGTGAAGATGAGTTCGGCTACCGCATTTGGGACAACGAAAATAAGAAGGTGATCCGGAGCAGAGATGTGATATTCAACGAGAAGGTGATGTACAAGGACATGCACAAGACTGATAACTCAGAGAGCGAGTCAATATTTGTAGATGCAGATGATGTCCCGAGTAACCTCTCGGAAGAACCCAATGCAGAGGGTCCTCAGCAAGAAGAGACTGTTGGACAAGATGGTGCGCAGGAGCCCGACGCACCAGCTCCGATATTAAGAAGATCTTCTCGTCCTCCTGTACCCAACAGGAGATACATGAACTATCTGTTGTTGACAGATGGTGGGGAGCCTGAAAGCTTTGATGAAGCTTGTCAGTGTGGAGATGCGAGCAAGTGGGAGCTTGCAATGAAAGATGAGATGAAGTCTCTCATATCAAACCAGACGTGGGAACTAGCTGAGTTGCCCACGGGTAAGAAGGCACTCCACAACAAATGGGTGTACCGGGTGAAAGAGGAGCAGGATGGTTCCAGAAGATATAAAGCCCGACTGGTTGTCAAAGGTTTCCAGCAGAAGGAAGGAATTGACTACACCGATATTTTCGCTCCCGTGGTGAAGCTAAATACTATCAGGACCGTGATGAGTATTGTAGCAATTGAAGATCTTCATCTCGAGCAGTTAGACGTGAAGACGGCGTTTCTTCACGGAGATCTAGAAGAGGAGATATACATGCACCAGCCAGAAGGTTTCTCAGAAGAAAAGAAGAAGAACCTGGTGTGCAGACTCAAGAAGAGCTTGTATGGCCTGAAACAAGCCCCAAGACAGTGGTACAAGAAGTTTGACGGTTTTATGCACAAGGAAGGTTTCCAGAAGTGCAACGCCGACCACTGTTGCTACTTCAAAAGATATCAGTCCAGCTATATCATCCTACTGCTGTATGTTGATGATATGTTGGTTGCAGGAGCAGATATGGAGGATATCAAGAGTTTGAAGCAGCAGCTGTCAAAGGAGTTTGACATGAAGGACTTGGGTCCAGCGAAGAAGATCCTTGGAATGCAAATCACGAGAGATAAGAAGAGAGGTCTCTTGCAGTTATCTCAGACGGAGTACATCAACCGTGTTTTGCAGAGATTCAACATGGGCGATGCCAAGCCTGTGAGCACACCCTTGGCTAGCCATTTTCGTCTGTCGAAGGATCAGTCTCCTCAGTCAGAAGAAGAGAAAGAGAGTATGGCTAAGGTTCCTTACGCCTCGGCTATCGGAAGTTTGATGTACGCAATGGTCTGTACGCGACCAGATATTGGCCATGCAGTGGGAGTGGTCAGCCGGTTTATGTCGAATCCAGGAAAAGCTCATTGGGAAGCGGTCAAGTGGATTCTGAGATATCTACGAGGCACCACACAGAAGTGTTTGCACTTTGGTAAGGGAGAGGTAGAAGTGCAAGGGTACGTAGATGCAGACTTCGGCGGCGAAGTTGATCACCGAAGAAGCACCACCGGCTATGTATTCACCGTTGGAACTACAGCTGTTAGTTGGATGTCACAGGTACAGAAGATTGTTACCCTATCCACTACAGAAGCTGAGTATGTTGCAGTGACTGAAGCCAGTAAAGAGATGATATGGCTTCAGGGTTTGTTGACAGAGCTGGGATTCAAACAGGAGAAGAATGTTTTGCACAGTGATAGTCAGAGTGCGATACACTTGGCGAAGAATTCAGCATTTCATTCCAGACGAAGCATATTGCGCTTCGGTACCACTTCATCAGATCCCTGTTGGAAGATGACGTGTTGAAACTGGAAAAGATTCCAGGAAGTAAGAATCCAGCAGACATGTTAACAAAGACGGTGACAGTTCAGAAACTGGAGTTGTGCGCAACTTCAGTTGGCCTTCATGCATAGATGATGAGGGCGGAGCCTCACAGAAGAGGAGCTTGATGAGATAGCCTGTTGACGTCGGTTTGGTCTCCAAGTGGGAGATTGTTAGAATTGGGGGTGGAAACAAACCTCCGACGGCGGAGGAGCTCCGACGAGCTCCCATTGGCGACACTCGCGTCCGTTCGAGCGCTGGCGACAGGCTGTCGCCAGCCCACCAAATCCAGGCTATAAAACCCCCTTTGGCCCTAGGGTTTCAGTGCTCCTTCTCTCCCCCCTTGTCCGATTTCTCTGGCGGCGAAGCCCCAAAACGCAGTCGCGTTTCCAATTAAATCACAGCAGTGATTTCATTCATCTCCAGCTCTCAAATTGTTTTGAGGAGAGATTAAGAAGTGGATTAAAGAAGAGAGAGAAATAGAGAATTAAAGAAGGGTTTTATAAGTGGGTTGTTTAATTATTCTCAAGTGAGATTTGAAAGGGGTTTATTCCCTTTAATTATTAACACTGTAGCAACAGTGTTCATTTGAGAAATCTCAGTTTAGGGATTTGCTCTTGATTTGTAATTTCTTGTTTGATTAATAAGAAATTATCTGTGTGGCTCCCGAGGACGTAGGCAGTTGCCGAACCTCGTTAAAACTTGGTGTACTGTTCTCTATCTACGTTTCCGTTGCATTAGGGATTTCAGCGTTAAATTCCCAACACGGCAAACCCTCTGACACACCCATCCAAGATATGGATTTCCCAAAAATGTTTCCTAAAACTCTGTTTGTTTGAGTTAAAATTCTAGTAAGTAGATTTCCTAAAATGTAAGAAAACATCAACATTTCCAAGAACTCCAATTCCGAGCTTTTTTCTCAGAATTGCTTGGAAACCTAACATTTGGGGCAATAAAAAAATGGGACGAGTGGTTAACAGTGCAAACTTTTTGACGAAATCACATAAAAGCCTTTCTAATAAACTCTCGGCATTGTATGGAAATGCATTTCTAGACAAGAAAGGGACATCCTCTAATTTTCGGAAAACAACCAAACAGGCCCTGAATCTCTTGTAGATAAGACTACTCGGAGCTTGTCCACATGACTCTTCACCATAAGACCTTTTAGCAACCCAAAAGTTGCAATGATTGAATTGGTTTGCGTTGGTATAAGAAATGGTTTTTTTTTGGTGGTGGTGGGGGGGGGGGGGGGGGGGAGGGGG